GAAGAAGAAGAAGAAGAAGAAGAAGAAGAAGAAGAAGAAGAAGAAGAAGAAGAAGAAGTAATCTATAAATACATAGATGAGATGATATCGATAATCCAGTATTTTGACTGGCTTTAGATATAAACAGAAAGAGCAAGAGATTAGACAGACTAGACAGTTCCAAAAATCCAGCGAATGACGTCAATTCGTCCATTTTTGCTTCCGTACTGGAAGAGCATTCCAAATTTAACTACACGACTTTCAATTACGACCAGGGTACTTGCCGTGAACTTCATCAAATACAACTACAGTTCAAACCAAATACTGTCTAAAAGCTTTTCGTTCAAGACAAAAGCAAAGTGCTTGCTAGTGTTCTAGGGGTCTAGGGGCGTTATTTATTGTGTGTCTTGATTGTTCGGCTTAATGGTACATAATATAACCGGCAATATACACCATTACCTGTCAATGATATCGGCACGAGCTCATGCATTTATGACTTATTATCAAAGAGCTTTCAGAATAAAACCACATATTGACGCACATACTAAAAAAAGATTTTCTTCTTAGTAAACGCTGATTATAGCTATTATAAGAAAGGTTGGTAAAGGTTTCGTTGCATGTTACAGGCTGTAAATACCAAGCCCGAAATGAACTACATATATGAATGCAATCATCGAACGCTACGGCAACGTTTAGCAAGCATATAGGCCTTTTGCAACAACAGGTCTCATGACCCTACCCCCCGCAAAAAGATACGTTGTGTCAAATTGAACACCAGAAATGGAAAGAGCACCTCGATATTAGTAAGAATGCAAAGTTTCAGCTTATAACATGTAACACAGGAAAAATGGCATTGAATATAAAATCGCATATTTTATAAGGATTTGTATGGGGAAATGTGCTGGACGGCATAGCGTTCATTTAATGCAATTTCTCCTGTGCTTCAGGTTAGAAGCTGAAACTTTGCCTTCTTACTAATATCGAGGTGCTCTTTCCATTTCTGGTGTTCAAATTGACACAACATCTCTTTTTACGTGACCTGTTGTTGCAAAAGGCTTATTGCTTTTGTATCTCCTCCTATACAACTTAAACTTCGCCTTTGTTAAACTGAATTGTAAAACATCTTACTAACAAAGTAAAATAAATTTAATCACCAAATACGTGTTGTCGTTATAATTTTTCTTCATACAATGAAGTTTTACTTGCAGTATGTTCTCGGAATCACCATTTTGTATTTGAGTAATGTTTACTTCCGGTGTCTTCCTTTGTTTATTTGACAACCAATCATGAGGCAGGAAATACTGGAGTTTTCCAGATCCCAATCATTTCTTCGATCATGCGCAGTACGAAATATGAATATGGGTACGAAATTGCTCACACTCACATGCATATATCCATTACTTTCAACATTCTATGCGCGCAACCTTTTTTTTTTTTTTGAGTCAAATGCATATGTTTGATGAAAAAGACATGTTCAGTCTGCAGGTTTTAGACGAAAGAACGTCCGCCAAAGCAGATGCATGTTTGCACGTTTTAGACTTAAAAAAGCAACTAAGTCTAAATGGTCATTTCAGTTAAAGAAAAAAAACCTACAATAGTCATTAATTACTACATAGAGGACAGTTGTGACATCTGTCCTTCAGCAACGCTTCAAGATTCTTCTTCTTATATTGTTCTTAAAACTATTTAATGATTTGGAATTTCTGATTTCTCTTATCTAATTTGGACCAGAGCATAGGACCTAGGTACTTTAAGCTACGTTTGCCGTAAGAAACGGTATTAAATCTAGGTAACTATTACTCTTTTCAAATAATTCTTGGACATAAGATGGGCAAAGTTCATTTTTAACTTTATATATTAAGATAGCAATGTCCTGTAAACGTCGGTTCTTTGTTGTTGGTAACTTTGCCAGTTTGAGAAGTTGTTCATAAGTAATATTGTTTCTTTAGTTAGTGCGAACAATTAATCCGTGAAACACTAATTACTAAATAGTAAAAAAAAGTGCTAATTAAACAATAGAAAACAATGGAACTTGCATGAAATTGTGCTATTTAGTATTACTAAAGTTTCACGGTTATATTGTTTGCACTCTAGTTTCCTGTGATCAGATGCTCCGACAGAAATTCCAAACAATATGACAATACGTTACTTGAGGCAGTAAAATTAGAATCATAAGATTAGTAGATTGCATTTATAAATATTAAAGATGACATATTTTGCAGTCCACACATTGGTCGGTGTCAATGAGTGACCTCTCTGACCGAGATCCCCCCCTCCCCCCCTACACCTTTTGGGCTTGTTTAAAAAAATGTTACTAGTCACTTTGACAATCACTGATAATTCTAATAATTCTTATTCCAGCAATTCTCGTAAGGAATGTTCCCAAATTCCAAATCAGGATTGAAATACTTGGTACTCTTCCACCACCTATCTATGTTGTATACTGACAGTGCTTCATAGAAACATTTCCAGAAAACAATGGAAACCTCTTTGAGATTAGTGATAGGTTGATCATAAAGCATTGCCTCGCCTCGACTTGGGCGACATTTCTCCTTCCATGGCTTGGGTGGAGGACAGCAAGCGAAATGGAAGGCCTTCATCGGACGGTAGATTATTCTCCTTACATTGTACGCGTACGATAATGGCTTCCACTTTCCTGTATTAGCAAAGTAATACCACAGTAGCTCTTGGTCACTGGGACAGCTCTCCTCTCTTGAGATCTTTTCCCAAAGATCCATGATGGATTGATGCTGTTTAGAATCTGGCTTGAACACCAGAAGACCTGCATTGAAGCAAGGATCAATCACTCCTGGTCTGGAACAGTAAGTCGCTGCAAAGTCTGCAGTCTCTTCAAACAGTTCATCAATGTTACTTAAAAGCATGTAATCAGGATCTGCGTAAATGATCTTAGAGAACTGAGTATAGTTCCATGCATGGAATCGAGTGTACGTCCCAATTATTCCTTTACTGGGAGCCACGTTGCTCAAATGCTTATCCATCCATCGACAATCCAATTTTTCCACAACTCGCACATCCCATCCAACTCTTGCAAGAGCATCACGTCCAAAAAAGCTAACCTCATCAGTCACAAGAACCATCATATTCTTAACGCAAGAAAGCGTTCTTATCGAGTGACCCAAAACTATCGCTGCAGGAACATAGTCATCGTTAACCAAAGCTGTTAACCAGGTATATCGATCACTGCCATAACTTCTCTTGCTTTGACAAATTTGCTCCATGAAATGTCTCTGAAGTTCGTGATAATCCCATTCCATCTTGCTTAGCAGTAATTCGTTTGCGACTCGTCTGCCCTGATCATCAGCAACTGCAGTGTAGATATTTTTCGTGTAAAAAAAAAAAAAATTTGACGCTATGGCCTTGGTAGAAATACAAAAGAATTGAACAACAAAACAGCACGAGGAGAAGTACCAGTTTTGCAAACCTCGAACTCTTTGCGACCATAATTTTTGTTGGGTGTCATGCAGCACCTATAAAACGACAATTATGAGAAAACACAAACATATGACCTAGCAATCTATAACAAGGCATTCATTGAAGTGGGAGTAAGAAAAGACAAGAAGAATTAATAACAAGTTAACATTGAATGTTTGGAAAAGCGAGAAAATGTGTTGTAAATGTTGAGCAAAGTAAGCTTTTTGAGTAGCATATTCCAACTTGGTTAGCACACAAGAACTGACTAAAAAGAAAAAAAAAAAGAATAAACAAGCCTTATTATTGTCTATACGATTACCTGCTGTCTTAGGTTAGAAGTCGCAAATGAATGGTTGTCATTAGGACCTCGAATAAAAGGCTCTTAGGAATATCAAGCTACATGACATGCTAAACTGCTTGCTTGAAACGGTTTGGCGCGTTTTCAGATTCTGCGTTGCAAACATTGAAGTAATATTTCAAAACCGACAATGAGGACTGGACGGGATTTCAATTCCAAGCAATTAATTCCAGTCCGAGGCGTAGCCGATATTGGAGGCTTTGAAATGACTTCTCATGCTCATTATTATTCGACTTGGAGTAACTGTAACAAAATTAATTCAGTCCTAGGACTGAATTAATTTTGTTCCAGTTACTACAGACTGAATTCAGCCCTTTCATATGACTTTACCAGGTTTCAAGCAACATCATGTGACCCAAAAATAGCCCATTTATTGGCTGGTTTCTTCATGCATTATTAATGAGTATGAGAACTATGAAACACATTCATCTTCAACAACGCACGATTTATAAATAGTTATTCGATCTCTAAACATTTCCCTTCGAACATTGCCGTTTTGAATAACAGACGAGCGAAGCGCTATATATCAAATACGTGAAAGAGTGTTTCATACGATTTCCAAACATCAGGAAGTGAGTTGAAAAAACCGCGAGAATTTCTAGCCAACTTCGAAGTGTTTGGAAAGAGGATGAAACACTTTTTGAAGTACTTGTTATGGCTTCCCAAACTCTTTATACTTCTCTTAGAAATTCAAAGCAATAATTTGCCCAAATCGTAAGCTAATTAAGATTACCACTTTCAAACATCCTTCACGCTCATGAGTAATTTTCGTTGTTTTGTTTAATCTCCAAAACTGTTGCATTCTCTTTTTGCTCATTTAATGGTAACAACATGAATATAAAAAAAGATGATAAAATCATATTAAGTTATTATTCATCTGCTTATTTGTATTTGTATGCTTTTTATAAAATGTGTTATTTACATTAGCGATTGAAAAAATGAGGAACGGTATTTTAGTGTTCCATTGAGTAAAATGGTCCCAGTCAAACTGAAGTGGGCCGTTATTACAGACATAAAGCAATGCACTTTTTTGGTATACAGCTATTAAAATAAACTGATTTATGAGCGGCATAATGGATAGTGACTACTCAAGTCCTCGTGGAAGATAATATAACAGTCTTTTCAGAAGCCAAGTTCAGGTTTTAGGTTTTTTCATATTTTATGTATATAAGTTTAAAAAGAAAACTAGTTGTAAAAGACGTTTCACGGTCATCTCGACAACATCATCAGGTGTAATGAAAAATTTATCAAGTTTATGTATAAGAATTGTTTTATTTACATCTTGCACATGGAATAGCCGGCTTTATCAATTTGGATATCGTAAAAGCCAAACTATTGTTATAGTAAAGACATATCTTGGATGCAAATGACTAATGACAAGTCAAAGGCTTTACTTCCTTCCACCAATCAAATCTGTACAAATATTTTAGAATTTCGTTTCCTTCTCTAGGAACAGAGATATCGAAGAAACCAAACCTGGTTACAGGCAGTGGTGACTTCACCAAACGAGAAGGAAATGTACGATGTAAAGCGTAGTTTACAAACAGCAGCCATGGAGCCCAGCCAGGCCTTTTCATATTCCCGCCATAATCGTAAAAAGTAAACAAATCGACTCCTAATTTCCAGCCGCGTCTTTTCATCTGGATTAAGCCATTTCTGTTTACATGGTCTTCTACAATCATCCCAGCTCGTTCAAACGGAAGAAAGAACTCGGATTTCTCTAGCATAATGTATTGTTCGCCACGTATTCCGATGTCGACGTCGTAATCCCAAGGAAGTGGTCCCTTTTCTCGCATAGCACCAAATATAGACCCATACATGAGCCAGTGGTCGATTTGAAGCGAGTTGAGTAACATATGTACTTCGTGAGTTAGGTTCAAAAGCTGTTCCATTTCTACCTTCGAGTGACTGCATTTTACAGTCGGGTCTCGAACATAATCTGCGTGGCTTTGTCCAGTGTATAAAACATAAAATGCAAAAACAGAGACAATAGTTGCGAAACTGCAGTATTTCGCAGTTCGTTTGATAAGTGCAGAACTTACCATTACAGAAGGAAGCTTTTGTGCTGTGACCAGTGCGTCGAAGGTAACCGAGAAGGCCTAGAAAGAGAACTTTGTGGAAAGACGTGTCTGTCAGTTTCCGCACGAGATGAAATTTAATTAATGACCAGGCCTAGTGCAGCGTCTTAAACGAAAAGTCACGCATGTCTGGAGATTCTGGTTTCTTGCTTTTGAATTGTATTGTATAACTACGTACCCAGTTTGACTACGAGTGATATGAATATATAACGTATCGTATTTTAATTGTGGTAAAATATTTATAAAGCTAAAATGAAATCAGTCTATAGCCCTTGGAAGAATGTTACTGAATATAATTGTTATTCATTGGTATCCAGACTCAGTGTGCAGCGCAAAATGGCTGCGCAAAATGGAAGTGCAAAACATTAACGGCGCATTTTCCAAATTTTCTTGATTGATTTATTTAGGACCATACTTCCAGACATCGGGTGCTGAACCGTCGTATGGCAGCGCGAAGCATTTACGGCTACGCTGGAGATTTCGGCCCCAACACCGCTGTCCGAGGACTTACAGACTGATCAGGAAGCTCGGCCGAAGCCTAAGGGAGAGGTTAGTCGGCCCCTATAAAGCACGCGCATCCAACCAATCAGAACGCGAGATTTATAACAGTTATTTTATAATCCATGTTAGATGTTTTTTGTCATACATGGTAAAATTAAATAGTTATATCCGCTTGTTTTATGTGTACATGCAAAGCCATTTTAGAAAAAATCTTTTTGAGGATATGTGCTTACCGTTACTATTAATAGACCGTTTTCTCAAGATTGCGTGCGCACCCAAATTTAAGGAACTTGACGGGCCCACAATGCAATGCAAAATCTACCCAATTTTTTTCTCAATCTCGGAATGGTTATAAGTATTTGTCGACTAAGAATTAGAAGTTTGGTCAGAACGACTACTAGAATTAAGCCGATGCCTTTAGTCGAGGACGTTTCGTATGATATTGACTTTGATAATAAATTTATGATAAATTTATTCTTATATTGTTACAATTTGTTGAACCCCAGTCAAAACATATGAGCAAGATATAGTCTAGTTATATAAGGTTTTTTCCACAAATCTATATATTTCAACTCGATCGCGCGGTGCTGCGCAGAATGAAACTGTACAGCGCTATGAAATCTTATTGCGCATGCTCGTTAAATTGGCGGGAAAGCGCTACAACGAGAGAATATATGCTTTTTCAATGCGTAAAACGTTTGTTTTGTAAAAAGCTTTTCAGTACCTTTTCCATATACTTTTCATACTGCCTGGCTACATATGTTCTTGGCAGCAATGATTCAGTTTGAAATAGTTTTTTTTTCAGAAAAGATTGGACAGACGTCTGATATCGAATGCGTGATTTAAGAGCAACAGTATCCTCTCACAATAAGGCAATTTCTGGCATAGCTTGTGTTGATGTCATCATTGCATTTAGGAACCTGCCACGGGTTTCGTATATCAGAAAGACAAATTTCGTCTTCACCATGCACCTCTTTACGCCATCTTGTTCGTCTGTTTTGGAACCAAGTCCGAACTTGAGCGTCGGTCAGATTTATTTCAGCTGCTAGAGTCGACCGCCGCGATTTTGAGATGTATTTCTCGTTGGAAAATTCTTCTTCTAGTCGTTGGATTTGTTTTTGGGAGAACAGAGGGCGTTGCTTGTGTTTCTTTAGTGGTTTCCGTGGCCTTCGGACGTTGATAAAAGTCCCTAAAACCAAAGGAAAGAAGGTAATGTTAGTTGTTAGTAGTCCGGCTGGACATACTTGGACATCTCATCATTATTATTTTTGATGAGATGAAGAAACCATTTCGATGTTACGGCATAATAAAAAATAAAAAAAATAAAAAAAAACCCGAAAAAAAACCCCAGCTTTATATTCAAAGGAAGTGGCTATTTATACGGTAACCATGCAAATGCATAATGATATTATATTATTCAAATGCTATTCGTAAGGGAGCCGAATAGCAGATATCGGAGTTACACTCTATTGCCTTCAGACAAATGTTACATTTGGGTCAGTTTCTACACATTTATTGTATTTACCTAAATGCCTCAACTTGAAACAATTGTTTGCAGGCAACAGAGTGTAACTCAGATATCTGCTATTGAGTTGATCTATACTGTGATACGAAAAGCCATTTCAGTGCTATGGTATGGTCCTCAGCTACGAGGCAAAATGACGGGGGAAATCATTTCAACGTCCATATGACGACGAAAAATTATTTCCTAGCTAAGGAAACTAGGGAAAATACGACAGAAAAATACAAAAAGCCATTTCAGTGCTCTGGTATGCCCTTAGCTACGAGGTAAAATGACGGGGGAAATCATTTCAGCGTCCATATGACGACGAAGAATCGAAATCTTTTCMTAGCCCGGGAAACTAGGGAAAATACGACGGAAAAATACGTAAAGCCATGTAAAGCCATTTCAGGGAAGACAGCCGAATGAGATGAAAATACAGAGCAAAAACATTTAAATGTCAGGACAGGCCACCAGCTAAAAACCGCAAGAAACCCATTTCAAAGCCAGACGGATCAGAAGAAAAAGCATTGCTCCGTTTTAAAGTTATTTTTACATAAAAAAGAAAAGAAGAACTGAGGAAAGAGGACTTCTAGTGCCAGTTATGTAATGTACAGGAAAGCATTTACATGGGAAGGATGCCGCATTGAAAAATAAAAATGGGGAAGCCATTTCAGTGCGACTCAGTAAAACAACTAACTCAAGATGAGACTGCCGAGAAGCCATTTCAGTGTAAGGCAGACCGCGAGAAAAATAACGTAAGATTCATATATCTTTGCACAGAGAAAACGGAAAATGCACGCTTTTAAGTTCACCCTTGCATCAAGTATATAAGACACTAATTTAACTCGTTTTATAAGTTCATTTAATCCAGCGCAATCAGTTAAAGTCAAGCAGCTTTTTTCATTCCTTGATAAGTATGAACGCATTCCAGAAGAATAAAAGTAGAGGCACTAGACTGAGAAACGTGATTTTTAAATACTACGCAATCACGAACTGTTCGCTCAAATTTAACGTCTAATCAAATCTTTTAGTGCTTCGGATTTCAAAATTCAAAGAAAAATACTAAAATATAAGTTTAATATCAATATTAATCTCATGAAAGTGAGAAACGCTTCGAATCTTTTAATTTAGAGTGGCTCATAGTTTAGCAAATTGTAAGCAACTACATCTCTATCTATCGAAGCTAAACACCTTATGTGGGATAATCATTCAAGTTAATTAAGTAATTGAATTTACACCTTAATGGAGACACGGTTCTTTCTCTCAGTCTTGAGACATTAACACCGAATTATCATTAAGATATATGTAGCGATGTAAATCGAAAAAACAGTACTACAAATTGTACAAGTTTGATAATCATTTGAAAGTTTTCTTGTTTATGCTGCACAGGCGCTGAGAACGCCATCAAAAACTAGGCTAAAACTGAGCTAGCGTACGATAATTTGGAAGTGCGATGAAGACAGTTAGCCAGTATCTTTTCTATAGACTTTTCTTGTTTTATATTGGCCTTATTACGATCTTGAATTGTACTGCGGAATTAGATGATTAACATTCAACATTAGCATATCAGACGCTAGCTAAACATTTTCGCAAACCTTTATTTTTTCACAACGAAAAATAGGAATAACCTGAGTTTTTGAACTGCCAATGAATATCAATGAATTTCTCTATGAGAACAAAGTCTCTCAAAACATTCCTTAGTTTGTTGTTCAGAGTCGTTTCTCAAGTGAGTACTAAGGATGGTTTACGTTCTGACGAGACGGTTACACAAGAATGGTTAACATGCACAGTGTTCAAAAAAAAAGATCTTTTCAAAAAATTGATCAAAAAAATCTGATTTAAACATTTGAGGACATCGTTCGTTGCTGAAGTAAAAGCTACCACAAGCCGTTGTTCTGAATTCAGCAAATATATCCTTGGTGGCAAAATTATAGCAATATTACAGCATGTGTTTCGCTTTCGCTCAAAATAATTCATACAAGACGAAGCATCAAAGGTATACTAAAGTAAAAACTGTGTTTCTCAACATGTTCTCGACTTCCAGATCAGAGTCAAGCTAGAAAGATGTTTATTCGTAGGTTAAAAGTTGGTTTTAAACTGTTTGAATATAATCTCTTTTTATTAAACCACATTAGCAAGAGCATGGGAGGCGTTGAGTAACATTCCACATCGTTTACTTGTTCATCTGTAGATGGGCTAGTCAGTTTATTCTTCTCAGTTTTAATTCAGTCCGAACACTTTAACAAATCTTTACTTTAAGTTTTTTTGATAACTATATATCATTTCTAATAATATACATTTAAACATGTATATAATTAGAAATGATATAACGGTAATTGTTCTTTTTCATCCTGTTGTTTTCTGATTGATTTACCACAAATCCGCCACTCCTTGAGGATAAACACAAAACTAACCCGTCGCTTCAAGAAAAAAATAACATCATTCCAAAATCCTTTTTGTTTACTTGCGATACGTATAAACTAGAAAACCTCGTGCATTCAATATACGTCACTTTAAGAGCGTATAAGCTTACAACCCGGGGAGGAATGTCTACTAAAAAACTTCAAATTCCTTTTCAAGTAATACTTTAACAGGTTTCCAACGAATTTTCGTTGACTATGAATCTCAGTACTCCCGGAGCAATGAATGAAATAGTAGTCGTAGGCACTTTGAAGCTTTTAGATTTAGAACTGGCGATTATTGTCCTTAGAAGTGAAACTTAAAATGACCAATATATATTAGAACGTATTTCAAGAGCAAATAGTTTGAACCATTGGCATTGAGAACGTAGTTCACTGTGTGTATCAGTACCTCCAGTAAAATATCGTGATATTTGCCGTCAATGAATCGCTCTGATGAAATAATCTGTCTCTCCGCGAATGATGATTTACTGTCGATAAAACGTGTCTGAGCGCAGGAGTGATTTAAGACTTACAAACTCTTTTGAAATTTTGCCACTCACTAGACTTACGTATATAAAATCGTCAACGGAAACACTCATAAGCGGACTGTACAATTTTAAAGTTTGTAGTATGTATAACTACTTGTTTGGTAAATCAATTGTAATTTGTAGTTGTACAAAAAGTAGCTCATGAATTGGTAGAAATATATATATAACGAGAAGATTTATGAACATAACAGTAAAAGTGTTGTCATCAATTCTTTGCAAGAAGCTTGATTTATGGCATGGAAAAAGTATTTAACTTAGACATGTCATCATAAAGTATTACTCTGATTACATTGATTTATATACAGTAATAAATCTTGAATAAAACTCACCCGAAGGAATCCCTTGTCTACAGTATCGAGTAGCGTAAATCCAAGGCGGGATTTGTGCACCAGGATCTTCATAACACATCCGTGTTGATCCTGGTAAGTTCTGCGAGAGAGGTGGAGGGATGATGACGCTGCTACGATCTGACGGCTGGTCAGGGGTCCTAATACTAGGTAATTCCCTGCTTAAATTATCGTTTGAACTCTCGTCCAAGTTGAGGAGATTTTTGATTGAAAAGGGGTGACTGAACGATGTACTCTTAGGCCCTGGTTCCACTGGGGTAAAAGCAGAGCCGTGTTTTACAATAACTGACATGCTGTCCGCACACTGAACCAAGTGACTACTGGTCTAGTGCTCTTTCTAGCGCTGTTGTAAACCTAAGAGACAATGTTCACACCCTTTGAAGTGTCTTAACACTTGGTCTTTCGTTTTGTCGGATCTTTGGCACCAGTTATTAGGTGTTGGTAGACACTTGTCCCGCGTACTCTTATACTAGTGATGATAGCTCGCCAGTTACCTATTGTTCGTATGCTTGGCCTTTAATTGGCCTATCCTTAATACGCTCAAATACCTGCGGTTTGAAAACGGATAGCTCTCTGTCCACTGAACCTTAAAACACATCAAGGGAAATAGGGGTTACTGCAAAATAAATTATCTTCGCTGTAGTCTATAGTTGCGGTGTTGGTAAATTTTAAAAAAAGGTCAGAACAGATGAGGAAAATCGTACTTCAATTTCGTGTGCGATTCGCACCAAGGGTAACTTTTTGAAGCCACTTAACTGTCTATTTTCTTGCCGCTTATTTCCGGCTATTCAAGATACTTCGAACTCGGAAGGAAACATGTCGTTAGAGAAGGGTTCGACAACGACCAATCCGGATGCTAGAGTTTGTAAAGCATTCCTTAAACAAGTGACGAAGCATAGGAGAACAATTGGACGTTCACTTCGACGTCATATTGTCTGGGCTGGCGATGCTATTTCTGATGTCTGATGAAGTGAGGAAAGACTCTTCAATTTCTAACACACCTAAGATGACTTCTATAGACCTACTACTCTATTTTTCATCTATTACTGATTACAATTATTAAAACGCATGAATTGTTTAGCTATTAACCATGGCTCAATAGTCATAGAGGTATACAAGAATCGACGATCTGAAGCAAGAGTATTTTTAGCGTTATTTTTGACTAGAGACGGAAGTTATATAGTTTGTTCTGTCAATGCAAGCCAACCCCATGATTGCTATGCGTGTCTTTATTTACGAATTCATTTTGGCTCACTGTTATATTTAATAGCAACGAAAATTGACATTTTCTGTAAAACAAAAATGTGTGGTTAAAACTAATCTGAGAAAAAAATATCATGCGAAAAAAATAAATCTAGAACCCCTTAAAAATAAGTCAATATTAGTTTTCCCTGACGACGCGTAGTCTAGCGTAGCGGTACTCGAAGTAGATCAGCTATTTCTATTGTTTTATAAAATAACAAGAGACGCCTTTAATTAAGATAAAACCATTAATACTAACTACGAGAACTACTAGATAGCTCAGTCAATGACGAGGAAATTGGTCGTTGCGAGATACTGATATTTTTGACTGTTTATAATTAGAAGGAATAGTTCAAAAAATTAAACACTCCAGTGATAAAAAATTCGTACAGATAAAAATGTATGAGAGCGTAACTACGCAAATATCAACTTTGAATTCTGAATTCCAATTCGATCTGGAGATGAGCCCCTGGTTTTGGTGGAGACTGGACAATCACTCCCTAAATGTTCGAAGTAAAATATATTATATATTTAAGTTCAATCTATACTAGAACCATGTAAACTGACAGAAGAAACCAAAACCCGACTCAACTGATATCTCTCAAAGACATTTTCAACATTTTCAACAATGCCATTTCCGTCCACCTATCGAGACTGCCTTCCCATGTTATTTATTCGAGCGCTGTTTTCAGTAACAAGATCTACTGAGGTCAAGCCAGTCACTGTAATTTGTACGAATAGAAAATCAAACTGTTTCCTCGTTATGTTTGATAGAACTCCCGACACCAGGAAATGCTCTGCGCGCTTTGAGTTCAAAGTAATCTTTCCTCTTTGGAGATAGGTTTGTGCATCTCCATCCACTAATCCCTGTGGTCAGAGTCAATCCTGCCTTCTTTCCAATATAGAAACAGATTCACTCAACCAATCTAGTATTAGCGTTTTGTTTTCCGATATGCCATTTCCTACGATAGATTTTCTACGGGTTTCCACTAGAGATGTTTCTGTTTTTTTCTCCCTGCTTGTAAAAATCAATATATGAAAGCGGATCGTTGTACTATGTTTAGGATATTGGATGTATCAGTGTGAGTGATGGTCCCAATTAGCACGACTATACTACTGTTAAGAGTGGAGAGGCCTATTGATGTACCCATGGTTAATAGACCGTTAATAGCTAGACTATTTAGGAATTTGTACAATACCACTGTGCTCTTTGATTACAGTCTCATTTACTCAGGGTTAGCGTCATTTTAGCCTAAGAATCTTCAAAAATAACAAAGTTAAAGTTAAGAATACACAACTTGAACAATACAAACACTTTGAAATTTCGCGAGCCTTCATTGGAACACATGAGTGTTCTACACAAGATCAAGGCCTACCCTGAACAACAGATGACTCGAAACTGGAGTACGTATTCAATGTTTAAACCGTTTTAAAAGGGATGCATAGATGCGAACAAATAAATGGCAAATATTCCAGACAGTGGAAAAAAAAAATTTTTTTAATGAAAGAATGAAAGAGCGAACGGACAACCGATAGGCTGGCTGAATAAACGAATAAATGCAAAAGGGATTTTGCTTTAATTGCTTATTCAGTGCGCAACTGTACACTTCCTTACACCATGGAACGATGGGAACTAAATCAAGTCAATCAGTAGTTAGAAATGACAGAAGGCACGCAAACCTGATGTATCATTTCCAATGTGTTGAGATAAAATCTCTCAAACATTTCCCACTTTCTTGAGCACCTTGCCAACAACATCCCCTCAGAACAGGAAACCAAGAAGGTATCTAGATAAGAATTGAAAAATATAATGAGATAAGTAGGGGACAGTCCTAGACGTTTCCTTGTACGCAGGCATCTAGTTCAATAAATAAGGTTTCATCTGTGATAGTGCATATTATTATTTGACTAGCTTTAAGAAGGTAAAGATAAGAATGGATAATCTTAAAAGATAAGTAGGGGACAGTCCTAGACTTGTCCTTGTACGCATCGGCATTTAGTTCAATAAATAAGTATTCATCTGCGATTGAATACTATCTTTCGGCCATGGCGGCCATTTTAATGGTCGTCTGTAACCTCGCTTTCCGTTAGCTACGTAGATAGATTTTGTACGCTGTTTATTAACGACTCTTTTAAAAAACTAGAATAACAAAAAAGCAACTCCTGGATTCGAGACTAAACCCACATACAATGGCGTTTTAAGAGTCGTCAATATAACCCTGAGTTCGGTTAAATAATCAGACCTGTTAAAAAAGTAAACTGAATAATAAAAAGATGAAACTTTAGCCGTTATTGAGCTCTCAACATTTTTATTATTTGTATGTGAAATACATCACCGATATGACCATCCCTCTTTGAATCAAGACATCGGAAGGAACAAGCCAGGGAGTTGATCGAGTCCGATGCTGACCCCGGGTAAATAGAGATTAATCATAAATAGATGTAAATTGTAATAATTGAGATTGATTAGCCGGACGGGGTGACTTAAAAGCGAATAAAAAGGTCCGGAAAGTCTTGCAACACAGCAGGGAACAATCGGGAACAATATGACAGATTCTTTGTTTCAACTCGTTTCTAAATGCTCCCGAGGCTTGAACTGAACTAATTTAAGCAGCGTAAATTACTGTGTCTTCACCATGTTTTCAAATTATTAAACACCAAGAAAGACCTCTCCCAGAGTTGGATATCATTTATGGATTATGTAAATTATGTCTTTAAAGTGAAGCCCAAAAACAAAACTAACAAAGGGAGGCCGAGACGCAATTTCTTGACTTAGTCGATCTATCCTCCACTACTAACTATGATCTATCTTGAGAAAAACCTCTTGTTCTGTTGTTTCTAGTTTACTGCGGAAAAACGGCACAAAAAAATTAAACATACAGATTACTTCAACCCGACATTTTCTGCGGAGGTTATGTTTTGTAATTTTACGATTTTATGGCCCAATTTTATTACTATTATTATTATTAYTATTATCATTACTATTATTATTATTATTTAATTATTATTATTACTATTATTATTATATGTTTATTTCAACTTCAGACATTTTTGCTCCATGAATACAGAATATTGCGGGCATGAATAGTCTAAGCAAATATCTGCATGACTGGTTGTACAAAGATGTTTACAAATTTAACAATTGTACAGACGTTTCACAATCTCACAGTTCTGTGAAATAACCCATTTCTGACACTTTCTTACAATTTTTAGACCTTCAGTGAGGCCTACATCAGCCAGTTTACTACTATTATTATTATGATTATTATTATCATCATTATTATTATTATTGTTAAAACAAAATGAACCGAAAATGATAATTGGGTTTGGCATTGTGGTATTATCAGGTAATACTCTATTTTAATTGATTGAATCAATAAATATCACCTCTATCATGCACTGTTGTTTAAGACTCACCCCAAATATTTTAGCTTTATTATCAATCGTTTTTATTATTATTTATGGATTAATTAAGAATAAGAATGAAGCGATCTGTGGGCTTGGCATTGTAGTATTATCAGGTAATATTCTATTTTTGTTTGATAGAATAATTGACATCATTCTATCACCATGATTGTTATAACTCACCCAAAACATGCATTATCAAATACTACATGGGATATTTGTGTCGAACAGGATTGGATTTTCCGTTATATTATTCTTAAGATAACTAATTATACAAATAAGAAATAGTAAAGACATTGCACAAGTCCCTCAACAAACTGAGCGGAGTGACATATATAATCAACTACTTATATCACGGATCAAAAGATTTGCAAAAATCTAAAGTCGGAGATTCAGTGACAACTATGAATTTCAAGTAAACTCTATACAACTATAAGTATCTTAACTTCAGACTAAATTTGTTTTTTTCTCAGTCTGCGCCGTTATCATTTTATAACACATCGAAACATGCATTATACGACTTACAAGACATCGGTTATCTAAGTCCCGGTCATATTGGCTTAACTGAAGATATATTTTGTTTGGAGTTAAATGTGTCTTATTAGAAAAAAAGGCTCTCAATACGTAATATCCGGGCTCTTATGTTTCTTCATTTAGAACACTGACTAAGACGCGAGGTATTTCAGGGCGTGAACAGTAATTCAAGTGAGATGCTATATTGTGGTCGAGTAAAGAACATGATCATTGACCTTTTAAAAACCCACAGAAATGTATCAAAATACGTACTCCCGTACAGGATAAAGTGTACAGATGATTTCCTTTGGCATCTTAAAGGGAAATTTAAAAATCTATCAAAATAATCAAGCTGGACAAGAAGTTGAAAAATATTTGCAAATCGAATAGTTTTGCTCTATCGGAGTTATTCTTATGAAATACGACTATGGTCTGCTTTGGGTAGTGATGTAAAGCGAAACTTAAAGCGTGATTAATTGTTGGCTAGTCATCATACTAATTGAAAATTGAGAGTGAAACTTGAAAAAGGATTAAAAAATAGGATTGTAAGCGTTCACACTTTATTCAAGGGCTAGTTGAACAGTTCTGAGATTTCTCTTCTCATATTTATTGTAAAACTAACCTCTATTCAGCTGAAACCCTTTATTAAAGCAGACACCGGGCAAATTGCAAAGTTCCGAAGATGTCGACTAATAAAAAGCTACGCGAAAAGGATAAGTAGTATTTACAAGTCATTACTATATTGGTAGAGTACAGAAGCTAATGACGGAAGAATTTGGAATATTTATTCTCATTTTAAGACAGCAATTCAAAAAATGATTTTTTCATTTAATACTCGTACTTGTCGATTGAGTAATGAAGAAACCGAACTATAAGTCGGTATAGGACTTAACATTAGCCAGTGACTAGCAAACCTGTGGCCCTCGTTCCACGAATGAATTGGGAATTTAGGAGTTGACTTTTGCCGAGGGAAGAAAACTGGAGCATCAGAAGAAAAGTCTTCGCAGCACAGGAGAGAGCCACCAAGCAACTCTATTCACATACGACGACTGGTTCGGGAATCGAACCCTTGGTCGTAGTAAAACAGATCCCTACGCCACCCGTGATTCCCAAATGCCATTTGAGGAACCTTAACTTGTACATTGAGAGCCAGCGAGATGAAAACTGCTGTTAGTAGATTTTTAAGATCATTAATCAAAGTCTATCAGTTTCGAACCCAATAACTCGACTTGCCCTAGTCTTGAGTTATATCCTCTAAACTGATGAACACTAAAGGTTAAAGTATTGACAGATGATAGAGTACTTTTGGTTTCGAAATTCTTGAAGATAAATGAATTCCTGGCTCTAATACTACCGAACGGCATTCTTATGACAAATATAGTGATTTTTGTATCAAGGCCACCTATTATTAAACGAAACATGATCATTAAAGGACGTCTCTTGCCACAGTAATTGCAAAGTCGTGAGGTTTCCTACCAATATTTTATACTGTAAAATAAACCTCTATTCGGCGGACACCCTTCATTAAACGGACAGATCGCTGCACGGTCGCGAGATTTCCTTCCCATATTTACTGTAAGACAAACCTCTATTCAGCGGACACCCTTCATTATACGGACATCTCGTTGCACGGTCGTAAGATTTCCCCCCCATATTTACTGTAAGAAAAACCCCTATTCATCGGACACCCTTCATCAAACGGACAGATCGTTGCACGGCCGCGAGATTTCCTTCCTATATTTACTGTAAGACAAACCTCTATTCAGCAGACACCCTTCATTAAACGGAGAGATCGTTGCACGGTCGTAAGATTTTCTTCCCATATTTACTGTAAGACAAACCTCGTTTCAACGGACACCTTTCATTAAACGGACAGCTAGTTGCACTGTCGCGAGATTTCCTTCCCATATTTACTGTAAGACAAACCTCTATTCAACGGACACCCTTTATTAAGCGGTCACCGGGCAAGGTCTTGAAGGTGTTCGCTTAATAGAAATACCACTTCACTTTGGTTACTACTGTCGATAAAGTTCTTCGAAAAGCCAACGGCGCTGCAAACGAATTTGGAAAGAATACGTTCTGTTTTAAAAACAAATTGGTGTCTACTTTTCCTTTTCTTTCTTTCCACTTTTCCCATTTTTTTAGTATCTCCTCAGCGACCAACTTCCATTTATACAAATTTTATTGCTATGTAATAGTTAGTAGACTAATAAAGGTTTAATAGGTCTTACTTTCATTGTTGTTGTTTTGTTTGGTGTCTATTTGATGTCATTGATTTATATTACTCGGGCTTTCAAAGAAATGCCCGAGGTATAAATTGGGCTTTATTTGCGTTCTGTCACAAATCGCAGTTGCGTTCAAAGCGCATGCGCAAGTTCTATGCGCGTGCGTAGTATGCGCCACATAAGCACATGGTCGAGCAATGGCGGAATTTTTCAAGGTTTCGTCAGAAGGATGACAGTGTTCGCGAAGAATTCTTTCGATTTTCTGCTATGAAGCCCGAGTTCACGCAGATATGCGACTAGTTCCGTATTAACATGGGTTATGCAAAACCACTCTAGTTTCATAACGGAAATGCGATTTCATTTCAAGTTTTTTATCTTCAAACTCGCCAAGAATGTTTATGAAAATCTTTGAATCGATTTTAAATCAACCTAATCCAATTAGATCGTTTAGGAGAATGTCTTCTAAAAAATCAGGAAATTCTCTCTGTTATTCGAGACTATCTCGCCAGCTCAGAGGAACTAGCCGTTCATAGTTCTCCCATATACCATCCGTCCGGTCTCCGGTTTCTCCGAATAACTTCGTTAATTAAAACTACATTGATGGATAGCTGTTTCATAACAGTATCTGGTTCGTGCTGGGACAC